AGACCTGAGTGCCGCATGACAGAGTGAGCTCCCGTCTCTGGCCCCAGCTCCTGCCAACCTAGTAGTTTGAAAGCAAGAAATTGCAAGTAGATAAATAGGTACCACTTCAGTGGGAAGGTAACAGTGTTCCGTGCGCTTCGGCAGCTAGTCATGCTGGCCACATGACCATGGAAATGTCTTTGGACAGCGCTGGCTCTTCGGCTTGGAAACGGAGATGAGCACCGCATCTCTAGAGTCGGATTTGACTGGCTTTCGAGCAAAGGAAACCTTTACCTTTTACCACCCCACCCCCCACTAAGCACGTACCCCTCTACAGAAATAAAGCAAAACAACAGGTCTCTGTGACACATCCCCCTGCCTCTATGGCAGGCGAACTATAAAATGCATACTAAGCCTGACATACTGCCCCCCCTCCAGACCCCTCACCCCTTCGGCTTGTGAGGGTATTTGTTATGGAATGCACGGGTTAGAGAGGAGGCTTTAACGTGTTCACATTTCACTCACTCATTATGCAATTCATCAAAGTCCTTCCATTTAATCAAATAGTATAGTCAGTTCCATTTCAACTTAGAATCGAGGATCTCTTCCACCTCATGGTGGAGTTCACCATCCACCATTAGAGGAAGTGGAGCAGCTGGACGAGGTCTCCACTTCTTCAGGCCCGGATCCCTTCTTAGTAAACTGAAATGAAATACAGGGTAACTATGCCTCAGAGTCTTGGGTAAATCAAGTTCCACAGCCACTTTGTTCAAGACTTTCAACACCTTGAATGGGCCAATATACTTCCACCTCAATTTCCTCCCAGGCTGGAGCCCCTTCAGATTTTTTGTGGAGAGGTACACTGAATCCCCAGGTTGCAACTCCCATTCAGGAGCTCTCCCTTTATCAGCTTGCTTTTTGTAGTCCTCTTTTGCCTTTCTCAGAGTCTCTTGGATTGTGGACCATCGATCTTTTAATCCCCACGATTACAAATCTCCCTGTTGGGCTCCTGAGTAGTCACCATGGGGAGGGCCCCCCGTCATACCCGTGCACAGCCTTAAAGGGGGAGAGGCCAGTGGCACTGTGCACTGTGTTATTACAACTGTATTCCGCATAAGGGAGGAGGTTGACCCAGTTGTCCTGCTGGTAATTGGTGACGTACCGGAGAAACTGCTCTACCGCTTGATTCACTCACTCAGTCTGCCCGTCTGTCTCTTGGTGATGGGAGCTGCTGAGACCTTGTTCCACCCCCAACACCTGCAGCAGTTCCTTCCAGAACTTAGCAATGAACTGCGGACCCCCAGTCCAAAATGATCTTGCAGGGGAGGGAATGCAGCCTCACAATGTGGTGCATGAAAAGCTTGGCCGAGGACAGTTGTTTGCAAGGAATAAAATATGCCTGTTTGGAGAACGTGTCGACCACCACCCAAATAATTGTTTTACCTTTACTGGGTGGGAAGTCAGTTATAAAGTCCATAGAAATCACTGCCCATGGTCTCTCTGGCATCTCAAGGGGTTGTAAGGGGGCTTTCCTGGCCTCCGTTTCCCCATGAGGCAGGTCTGGCAGGAACCCACGTATTGGGAAATATCTGCCCTCATACACGGCCACCAGAATTGCCTTTGAAGAAGGTGCAAGGTTTTCAGGTATCCATAATGCCCCGCCAATTTATTTTCGTGCCCCAAAGTCAGGAATTCCCCCCTCAGTGCTTTAGGCATAAACAGCCTCCCACCCCTGTACCAACAGCCATCCCCACTCAGCTTTGCTGAATTGTCAGTTTGAATGTTTTCCATGTCCCCCTCTGTAAAAGCTGTTTTAAATTTGCAAATCCGGGGTTCAACTTCAAGTGTGGGTTTCTGCTTTCGCTCGGCTGCGAGTTAGCACCATGCGTCCCCCCCCCCCCCCCCCAACTTGGGTGGGTGTGAACATTGAGTCTATGACTTTTTCCCTCTGGCTGTCATGTTGTGGGAGGCAGGATAGTGCGTCAGCCAGAGAGTTCAACTTCCCGAGGAGGTGCTGGAGGGTAAACCGAAACTTAGAGAAAAACTCCGCCTAGCGGAGCTGCTTGGCGTTTAGGCACCTGGGCGTGTATAATGCCTCCAGGTTTTTGTTGTCGTTCCACACTTCGAATGGCACCCTTGCCCCCTCCAGCCGGTGTCTCCAGTCATAAGGGCCACTTTGATGGCAGCCAACTCGTTATCCCAAACAGCCCAATTACGCTCCGTGGGGGAGAACTTCTTAGACACATATGCCACGGGGTGGAGCTTTCCATCCTCCCCATGTTGCAGGATCACCCTCCCCCCATAGCCACATCGGAGGCGTCGACTTGGATCACAAAAGGCTTGTTTTAATCAGGATGGTGTAAAATGGGCTCAGAGGTAAACAGCTCCTTGAGCCGTTCAAATGCCTGCTGGCACTCCGGGGTCCAGTCCAGCTTGGTACTTGGCTTGCTATGTCAGGACCTTTAGTTTTTAACAAGTCAGTAAGGGGCAAAACCACCTGGACGAAGTTTAGGATGAATGTGCAGTAGAAGTTGGCGAACCTGAGGAATGATTGGACCTGGTGCCAGGTTCGAGGAGCCTCCCACCCCACTACATCCTGCACTTTCTGGGGGTCCATGCCCAGACCCTCCACCGAAATCCGATATCCCAGGAAATCCAATTCATCCTTATGAAATTAACACTTGGAGAGCTTGACAAAGAGCCAGTGTTTATAAAGTGTTTGGAGCACCTCCCTGACCAACTTTACACACAAGTCTTTATCTTTCGAATAAAGCAATATATCATCCAGATAAACTAGCGCCCCCTTGAATAAATTCTTGTGTAACACTTCATTGAATAAGTTCATAAAAACCCCGGGGGCTCCCCCTAATCCAAATGGCATTATCAGGTATTCAAACTGTCCCAATGGGGTATTAAAAGCCGTTTTGTGCTCATCTCCCTCCTGAATGCACACTCTGAAATAAGCATCTCACAAGACAAGTTTGGTGAAAATGCGCCTCTGGGAAGCTTCCGCCAGCAGGTCTTTGATGAGTGGGAGGGGATAGGCATTGGACATGGACGCTGTGTTTAAGCCCCAGTCTGTGCACAGCCACAGCCCACCGTCCTTCTTTTGGAAGAGGATGGGGGCAGCAAAGGGGGAGGAGGCCAGGTGGATGAAACCCCGGCAAGGTTCTTATCTGTGAACCTGCGCAGCTCTTCCCTTTGGACATTTTGTACCCTGGGAAAATCTCTATAGCACAGTCCAACTTTTGGTGGTGGGAGAGCTCGTCTGCCCTCCTCCTCTTTGAACACTCTAGCCAAGTCTTTGTACTCAGGAGGGATGAGATCAAGCTCTCCCTGTGACAAGCAAACACACTCCGGAACGGGGACTGGTGCCTCCCCCCACTCAGGATTCCACCCATGAGCTTTACATCGGGGGTCTGGGAAGTGCAGGGCCCCTCCACTCCACTGAACGTATGGATCATGATTTTGGAGCCAGGGGTTTCCTAGCACGGTTCAGAATTTTGCAGCAGGGTTAATACTGAATGGGGCATTGCTCCCAATCCCCATCACCACAGGCACGGTTTGATACTTGCACGCCTCCTTCATTGGGGACCCATCCATCTGGGTGAAAATTATAGGTTCTGGTAATACTTGGATGGGTACCCCTAGCCCGGTGATAATGCTGGACTGACTAAGTCTCGGGCATACCCAGAATCGATCAGGGCTCTCACCCGTATCTGGGTGCCCTGCTCAGGGTTTATTAAAGTCACAGTTACATAGAACAAAGGGGGAGAGGTTCTCACCAAACTTGGTGTGTGGGACCTTTGGACCCGCCGGGCTGCGCCCTTCACAGCAGGTCCCAGTCTTTTCCTGCCAGTGCATTGGGCTCGTCTCTGCTGGAGGAGGTGCCATCAGACTCTTCCCGCTCTTCTGCTTGAAGCGCTTTAGGTTGCTTCATGCGTGCCCCTTGCGACTTGGGCTTTTTCTCAGAGGTCTTGTGCTCACTCGCCTTCCCATCCCTGGGGTGCTTGTCGAGGGGGCAGGTGGCCACAAAGTGCCCCGAAGCCCCACATCTTAGACACAGGCCCTGTTGCATCTCTTAGTTTCTGACAGCTTCTCTCATCTTCGGTTTCATCCCCCGTTGTTCCACTGCCACCCTCGTGGGAGCCCGGAGCTCATGCATCCGCAAAAGGTTGGAGCGGTTCTCCACCTCACAGGCCACCTGTATCCACCTGTTCAGAGTTAGCGGGTTGCCTTGGGCCAGGGCCCAATCCAGAATTGAGTGGTTCAGCCCGGCCCATAGGACTCAATGAGGACTTCTTTGGGCCACCCCTGGAGTTTTGTTTTGTTTTGAACCCATCAGAGTATTCCCGCACCAAGTGCCCACCCTGGTGTAGACCAGTCAAGTGGGTGCACGCTCTCTCTAACTCCATGGAGTTCTTGTATTGACATTGGAATGCCCGCATAAAAGCATTCACATCTCAGAGTTCTGGGCCCCAGACGTCATGGAGACCCACAAACCAGTCGGCCGCCCAGTCCTGGAGGTGCAGCCCAATAAAATCCACATGGTGCTCGTCAGTGGCAAAAATAGGGCCCCAATTGCGTAAGACCTTGTGCACCTGCAGCAGAAAAAAAGCCAGCTTCTCTGGGTTGCTGTTGAACGTTGCTTCCAGGGCATCGCAGGGCTGCACTTGAGTTGCTGGGGCTGCAGGCGTCCTGGGCGGGCCAGCAGGAACGGCTGGGGGTGTTGGGGAGGAGGTGAGGCACTTGCGGAGGGGCCAGCAGTGCCCTTCCAGCTCCATCTTGGGCCTGTCCACAATTCCTGAACTCTTGCTGGATGGCATCCATGATGATGCCCAGGATATCCAGCATCATGTTTTGCATCTCTTGCCTGATCTCTTCAGCCTCGCCTCTGAACTCCCTGTGGAGACGTTCAACTTCAATGTCCTCCACGACACAGATGCACTCCGGGTCATCCTGGAAGTAGCATCCGTAGTGCCTTCGGGCACCATTGGGCGCTGTTGTACACGAACCTCTCAAACCTCGGATCGGGAGTCACTGCCCAAGTGGGCTCAGCCCAGGTGGGGAGCGGCACCCAGGAGTCTCTGGTCTGTGCCCCGCCTTCTGCTCCTTTGGACTCCGCGGTTGTCACCAGGGCCAGCGTGGTCCATTGCTCAGTCACGGTGCTATCTGCCGCAGTTGTAGGGACTTCCCCGCCCTCTCCGCTTATTACGGCTGTGGTGCAGGAGGTCGAGGAAGGAAAAAGCGACTCCTAACAATTTGTCAGAATCCTGGTTAAATCAGTTCTCAACACCACTCACTTCAAAGAAAGTTTAGTTTCTTGAGATGCTGAAGAATACCATACTGAACACAAGCTTTGTTAGGGCTAAAGGTGAAAGTGTGGAGATTGCAGATATATTGTGTTCAAGCAAAGGTACTAAACGTCAGGACCCAATCACCCCACGGCATTTGCCCGCCAGAAATAACAGTCAACCACCACACCACTAAGCATGTACCCCTCTACAGAAATTAAGCAAAACAACAGGTCTCTGCGACACATCGAAGCATTTAGGAAAACGAAAGCATTTGGTTTTCACAGCCCTCTTCCCCTTCTTCCTCTATGGCAGGTGAATGATAAAATGCATACTGAGCCTGACAAAGTTCTGTACTGCCATCTTTCATAAAGATGCTGCAAGAAGCTTCTGACGGGCAGTTGTCCTTTTTTTTTTTTTGACAGGATTAGGGAGTCCTGTGGAAGCCGTACTCATCCCTGAAAGATAACAAGATCTCATCTAAGACAATCAAAGCCTGCCAGCTGTCTTCTGTTCCTCTCATCTGCTGCGTGCTTGGAGATTTCTTGAGTCTTCACTGCTTTTTTCCCTAATCCAAACTTCTATCTGCCATCTAAGTCTTGCCTCCTTTCTAATTAAAGGAGAGACCTCCAGAGATCCCCCTGCATGCTCCTTCTGCACCCCATCAAACAAATAAGCTAAACATCAGAAGATAATGCTGCCCTCTGCAAGGCTGTGGCTTACAACTCTGTGCAATTGGAAAATGGGGAGTATTTATTCGCCAAAGTCGTCTTAAAAATGAGCAAGTAGATCCCGAAAGCCTGTGTCCTGTTCCAGCGTCTTCTCATGTTTACACTTTGAATTTCATGCACTACAACTGAATTACAGATCTGCAACTTTTCCCATGTGTAATGGGCTGTCAAGTACTTTAACAGAGCATGAGGAAGTGGAAGAGACTAGTTTGGTTCTATTCACCTGAAGTGACTCTTCTTTGTAAATGATCATCTGTGAGAAGCAACTTTTTTGAGGTTTTTAACTGTAGGTATCACGAAACGAAGCATGAATGAATGAGATTTGTTTTAAAATATCTCCTGAACCAGTCATCTCACCGTGATTACATGTGTTTTCTGTTTTACTATGAAGTAGTATGGCTGGTATTTTGCAGTCAATTTGGGAGCTTGCCCTAGAAAAAAGTTGGAATGAGTGAAGCTGTAACTGCTAATTTACCTCTCCCTGTGGGAGTCCCTGAAAAATTATATGAAGATGGAAGGCTTTTTTTAATACGGAGTGGGTTGAGTTAGTCAATATTAAATCCCATTTTATGCAGTGCTACTGCTCTGGAGCCTGGGATCCGCTATTAATGGGGCAGTTACTAGAGGGGGATGTGTGCTTTTGTCTTGGAACAAGAAGTGGTTGTGTTGTGTGTATCTCAAGGCAGTTGAATTCTAGGATATGCTAGTGCTTCAAGGGCATTCTTTGTCACTGGAGTTAGGTGTTATGTTCTGAGATGGGCCTTGCACCTCCAATTGTAATTCTGCCCCAAGTCTTTAAGGTCTGCCAACAGCATAAAATGTTATTGCATTGCATCTTGAGATATGATGCAGAAAGTGTGTTATTTCGTTCTCTTCTTCCTCTGCTTCTTACATTATCCAGAACCAAATGCAAATGCACAGCTAACAAGTCTCACCACTTTAAGTGGGTCTGACCTCCCTCACAGGCACACACACCATATCAGCCAGTTTGGGACCAGTCACAGGCTGACTTTTGGTTTTGTGAGAAATCTTATTTAGATCATGGCACATGATATTCTTCCATCTTTATAAAGAGTGCCAAAATGCCACCATATCATTAGCACAGGGATCCTAAATACCACTCACCAGCCTTAACACCGTGCAAATGTAGCAGTGAATTATTTTGGTAAGTGCTGACATTATGCTTATTTGGTTTGGTTTTTGTGTTTTATACAAAGGCTTGGTTCCCAAGATTCTGTGTTGGATACCATGTTGGGGCCATTTTGCACTGGGTATGTGGGGAAATGCATCCATCAGAATTCCTGATGAGAGAGTAACTGTGACAGTGGGATACAGATGAGTCAGTTTAGCCATATGTATTTGTATTGAACTTGTGTTGTAAATGTTTATCAGCTGTCAAATTAATCTGGATGGAGATGGGGGTTTAGCCTGAAGGGCCCGTGGTATTTGTAAGATGTATTTGATCTTTCTGTGGCAAATCTGATGAAAAGCAAATTTCAGTTAATATTGAAAACTGCAGGATGTTTGGCATTTCAGAGTGAAATCAATCATGACTTTCCTTTTAGCAATAGTAACAACAAGTAACTGAAGCTGGTAAGTACTCGGTTGCAATCAATGGGCACTTCCACACATGCTAAATAATGCTGCTTCAGTCCACTTCAGCAACTGCTTGCAAGTGGATTTTGCCATTTCACACGGCAAAACCCACTTGCAGAGTGCATTGAAAGTGGATTGAAAGAGCACTATTTCGCCTGTGTGAAACCGCCCAATGTCTTTTTAAATTGCGATCTTCAGCAATGTTGATGAGATCTGAGCCTGTTCACTTTTGGAAGCTGTTTGCCTCTGATGTGTACTGGAATAAGGAATATTTTATATTCCGGTTTCTAATTTCCCTTGATGACGGGCTTTCCTGTTTTTTGTTCTTTTTTAAAAAGAAGGTTGTGCATTGTATTTATATCCTTGTAAATCATTTTGCCTAAAAGAAGCAGTGCCCTTCTTGCATTGTGTGCTTGGTGTTGACAATTTCATCATTTAGGAGATGCCAGCCAGATATGGTGCCAAGTACTTTTCTTCTCTGTTGAACACGCATGAAGCTGTCTTATACTGTATCAGACTGTCGGTCCATCAAGGTCAGTATTGTCTACTCTGACTAGCACTGGCTCTCCAAGGTCCCAGGCAGAGGTCTTTACCTGCTGTCTGGTCCTTTTAACTGGAGATTCTGGGAATTGAACCTGGAACCTTCTGCATGCAAAGACAAATTTTGCAATTGGACTCTTAGGATTCTTATCACTAAGCAAAAGAACCAGAGTTTCCGGAGTATGGGGGAGGGGGGCGAATGGTTGAATAAAGTCTTAATATAGTAATCCCTCATAATCTCATCTGCATTCCAGTAGGGCAAGAAAGGATGTATCAGTCCTATTAAGACCACAAGAGCAAATTCTGTCAATGTAAAGCCTATTCAAAAATGAACATTTTTGAATAGGCCCTACATTGCAGACAAAAAAGCTCTGCAATAGCATTGGGATAGTAAGATAGTGCATATGGAGGGTAAAGATTTTGGGTAAGAAAACCCAAAAAATAGGGGTGAGCATTTTCTACGGGCGCTCAGAATCAAACTACTATGGTTGATTTCCAGGACGCACTTTTTGATTAGAGAAAATGCCCATTCTAACTTTCATCAGTTTCTCATACAGGCCTTTTATCCAAGTTGATTTGTGGGTATCCCAATTTAAAGCGTCTAACAAACCATCTTCAGCACAGAGCTGTTTTAATCTCAGTTTGAAGGCAAATACCCATGCTCTTACTTCCAAGGATATCTGTCCAAATTCTGCCCATGATGCGATATTTGACATGCAGCAGGGAATATTCAGTATCTTCCTTAAGAATTGGGCTAGAGATTGATCGATATGATCAGAGATGGCTTTAATCCAAATAGCTGAACCGTAAACAATGAGGGGAGCCACTTTCAAATTAAAGGCTTGCGCTGCTCCAGGATGATATTTCTCCCCCTTATTGTGGAAGAACCTATTTATGGCGCTTGCACAAAGTTTTGCTTTATTAAGCACTGTTCTAAATGGGGGGGAGGGGGCAAGATAGATCTGCCAAAAACAGAATCCCCAAATAGAAGGCATTGACTTGCTCAATATTGGAACCATTGATAGACCATTGAGATGGGTTCCATTTTCCAGTTTTAGTGAAACCTAGGATCTTAGATTTTGGGTAGTTGATTACCAGGCTTTCTTGAAATCAACAACTGGAGAAAGACTGCAAGGCACTTTTTAGTTTGGTGTTGTGGTTAGGAGCACGGACTCTAATCTGAGAAAACCGGTTTTGATTTCCCACTCCTCCACATGCAGCTACTGATGTGACCTTGGGTCAGTTAGAAGTTCTTTCAGAGCTGTTCTCTCATGAGCAGTTCTCGAAAGAGCTCTCTCAGCCCATCTACCTCACAGGTATCTGTTGTGGGGAGGGGAAGGAGATTGTAAGCCGTTCTGAGACTCCTTCGGGTAGTGATGGGCGGGGTATAAATCCAATCTCTTCATCTAATCCGACCTTGGTATGAGACAAGATCACAGCATCATCCGCATAGAACAAAATAGGTACACCAATCTCAACTAATTTTGGTGGATGGCAGTAATCAACAAACATTGATGCTATGTCGTTTAAAAATAAATTAAACAAGAAAGGTGCCAACAAGCATCCCTGATGAACCCCCTTTTCCAAATGAAATGGATTTGTTAAATTCCCATTGTACCCACGTCATACTTGGGCAGTCAAACCTGAGTATAAACATTGAATAAGTCCTGGGAGCCTTTTGTCCATGGTAGTTTAAGTTTGTTCCACAATCTAGCACGATTTATGAAGTCGAAAGCCCCCTTGAGGTCAATAAAAGCCACATATAATGCCCCCACCCTTAAAAGATGAATATTTCTCAGCCAGATGATAAAGAACTAGGCAATGGTCATATGTCGAGGAACCTCGCCTAAATCCTATCTGTATAGTTTCTGATTCCATCCAATCCAGGAGCTTCTTTAGTAAATAAGCAGAATATAGTTTTCCTAGAGAAGATAAAAGGCTGATTGGTCGATAACAGGATGGGTCACTTCTGGACCCCTTTTTAAATATTGGGAAGTGGTGGTGGGGGTGAAGGAGCCCTAAAATGGCTGCCGCTCTTTAAAGCCAGCAGCTGATGGGCAGAAATGTAATGCTGCTGGTTTTAAAGGGCAGGAAGCCCTTTCAGGGCTCCCTTTCACTTTGCCCCACTTGGAAGGGGGGGGGGGAACAAAACCGAACTCTAATGGCTGCCTACCATTAGAGGGGGCATCTCTTTTTTCCTCCTTCTTTCCACCTCTCCCTTCCTTCCTCCTCTCCCCATCTATTTGCTTTCTTTCCATTTCTTTCTCTTTCCCCTTTCCATTTTTAAAATTTCTTTCCCTTTCTTTCTTTTCCTTCTTTCCCTTTCCCTTTTTTCCCATTTCCATTTCTTCATGTTTGTATATTTTATATGTTTGTAAACTGAAATTTAAAAAAAATTAGGCTGGCACACAACTTTTATTCTCATAGATTTTTTGGCTCACAAGATAGTATTTTCGCTCCACTGTTGACCGCTTAGAGGGAACACTGGTAGTGCTGTTTATTTGCCTTGTAATCACCATGTGGACACTTAAATGTATCTGCTACAGAACTAATAACAGCTACATGGAGCCAACTGAAATAATGAAAATGGTCTGTGAAGAAGTGGTTAATTCCACCATCTTCAAACCTAAATTTATAGGGGAGGTGCATGTGCTATGGACAGTTTAAAAAAAACCCCAGGGTATTTGTACTGGATCTCCATTATGTCTAGTTTGTCCTTGAGAGCTGCTGTGAACAGCCAGACTTCGTAGTAAACTCTAATGGTCTGTCAACTGCAGTTGGAGCTATTCAGATTCATACTGTATGTTAAAGGCTAAGGCATGGACGTGGATCCACTTGTAATTTCAGCAGACAAAAAGCATTTCTGTCTAAAACTTCATCACCTTCTCCCCCACTGCAGCTCAAAATGCCCCCTGAAATGCTGCATCTGTGGGATAGAGGTTGCAGGAAAAGTCAGTAATGATACACCCCATGACCACCACTGCAAAAATCCTCCACTGGATCCAAACCATGGGGTGTTGTGGCACTCACTAGAACAGTAACTTCTGTTGACAGTGGCTCACTTTCTTATGTCTACATTTTAAGAGAATGCATGTTTTGCAGGTATTCTGTCTATGAAAAAT